TAGGCAAACCGTAAAAAATCATAAGGATATAGAGAAAAGGATTAGAAGGAAAGGAACGCTGTTACAATTAAAGCGACGGCGGATTCAGCTCAGGCGCTAGGTATGAAAGAAAACAACATTCGCAAGGACGAAGGCTGATAATCTTCTGGCCCAACTACACAAAGCAGATGTGGAAGATGTAATAAGCTTCAGAAGGCATTACAAACCGTATTTCTAGAAATTATTTCGATCAAATTTGAGTTGAAAGTCTTACTCGAAATAAAAGACGAATCAGTCGAAAGGAGTCTATGCTGGCAAGAAACGTGTGCGTAAAAACCAAAGTACAAGATATAAAAGTTAAAAAAGGAATAGGGTAGATAAAGTAGATTTGGTAGATAGAATAGCGTATGGTATGGTTTAGGGCAAAATAGGGTTAGGTTAAATCAGTTTAAATAGCGGAGAAGTGTTATGGCCGGTAAGCAAATAGTTAAGCGAGTGTAAGGCAAGTTTAAGGTCGACTTAAGTTGAGTTAGACTACTGTAAGGGGGTGTAGCGGCAGGTGTGGTATTGTTGGATACTGCTGCGGCCGATGCTAATAGATTACAATGAATGAGTGTGTTCTGAAAGCTAAAGTTTAATATTAATGCGGTCTTTTCTGGTAGGTACCGCTGGATTCGAGTAGGATCTATATTAATGATTGAGTAGGATTCTAATACGGTCGGTTTTAATAGAGAGTGGATTTAAATATATTCCATTGAAGGAGCACAAGAGGAAGAATTGTGCTAATATGCTATTTTTTGGGCTAAGATTTTATCATTATTTTTATTATTATATAAATGATGTTGAGATAAGGTATAGTATTTTGGTAAGTACATGAAGAAAACGATTTCATTATTGTTGCTGAACAGGAAGATACTCCTTAAACAGCTGGATGGTTGAAATAAAAGTGATCTGAAATATGTTTGTTAACGGTGCTCCGAATCGGGTTAACAACTATCCAACACAATTGAGAAACAAGTAAACGCGATAAAGCAAACGTAGTGCTTTTATTTGTCTCCCCAGACTACCTAATAAACAAATTATAGTTTCAATTTCAAAGCGATATGTCATGATGTTCTCTTGGGTATAATAGTAATGATAAAAACAAAAAAAGAGTAAAGAAAGGAAAAGAAAAGAAAACAGCAAATGTAACTATAAGTAGAGTATCATTCGTGAAGCCCTTAACACTTTATATTTTATGCAAATTAGTTTAACTTCGTTTTCATGTTTCACTGATTCACTGGGTGCGTTCATTCATTCACTTATAACAATTTTGTGATTGATGGCATTTTTCTCTAAATGGAGTGTTTGAGCTTCGATGCGAGTGGTAAGTATTTCCCGAAAGAATATTCATTTTATCTTCCACTTCAGTGATTTTCTTGTTTAAATTTACAAAGAGTGTTAACAAGATCATGTTTTATAAAAGGTAACAAACAACAAAAATATCAGAAAGGAGAATAAATGATTTGAACAACAAAACGGTACTATACCAGTAAACTTGACATTTTGACGTAATGAGTTTAGGAAATATGTAAGAGGAGTGCGTGAAGAAAATATATGCATATGTATATATACATATGTACATGTATACATACGAGTAAGAGAAAAAAATGTATATGGCCATCCATTATATAAATAAGTTTATGTTCTATTCGGCCTTGGTAGGTAGCATATGCTATGTTTTACATACTGCCACTGCAACCGCTGCTGTGTTCGTTGCTGTTCTTTCTATTATTCTATGGCATATGTTAATTTTTGTTATTTCGATTTTTTTTTTTTTTTTTTTGTTTAATTATTTATTGACACAACCTAAACATTTTTTCTATACATAATATATGAGAAACAATTATGAAATGTTATTATTATATTATATCTGTGTAGATATATATATATATATGAAACTTTTACTTTAGTATGTCTTTCTTTCATTCTTTATTCTGTCAGTTTTCATATTTCATCACTGTTGATGATTAGTGTTTTAACTGTTAATGAACGTGGCATACAACACGCAAATGTCGCATTAGTGAATTAAGGCAAGTAAAGCGGTATGCTATACGGTATAACATATACAGAGTGTGGTCGCTTTTAAGACACAAACGATCGAGTTCAACGTTTTGAATGAATGTGCAATTAATAAAGTTTGCAGCTCATTAAAACTCTTATGATTGTCTTTCAACGTACATCCGTTCATTTACCTTGCATGCTTGCCAACGCTCTTTACCAAAACTTTATTTATGATAAGCGATAACATTGACGGTTACCAGAGCAAGTAGACCGAATGGCTGCCGGTGCCACTCACATGATGACAAAAAAAAAAAAAAAAACAAAAAACAACTAAAAAACACTTGTTTCACGTTTGCAGCTTGTGTGGGGTGTTGAGTTGAGAAGTTTCATTAAAGGCCCACTGCCAATAACAGCAACAATAACAACACCAACAACTTCGCTACGTAGTTGTCAGTTGGTTTTATTATAAGCGGCTTGATGTTATTTGTATTGTTGTTGCTGTTCAGTGGCCAGTAATCAGTATGTTTTGTACACATTTATAAGGCATTACGTTATATATTTTGGTTGATCTTCAGCGTTCGTTTTTTTTTTTTTTTTTTTGTTTTTATTCTTTCTTACATTGTTTCAGTTTTTATTAATGAAAGACCAACGAACATAAGACATATGGCGTGTAAGCGTATTGGTTTAGTCGATTTTAAACTGATGAGTGAATTGCATGAGTATACAATTTATACGTTTGCTGGTCTTGCGGTTTACATATTAACTTTTCAAACTTTATCCCTCCCCGGCAAAGCAATAAGCTTTATACAGTTGATCTTCATAAGCAAAATAAAAGAATAAAAATTAATATTAAACATAGCTAACAGAACATGCCATTCCTTCGCTTACTATAGCAAGGTATATTGGTAATGTTGACAGGTTTGTAACCAACGATTAGAACAGAAATTTTAATATTTTAAGTTTCTCATTAAGAATGATTTTTATCTTTCGATCTAATCACCTCGTCCACGACACTTCTCTGGACCGATGCAAATTGCGCCGCAAATCATTTGCATCATAGCACATAGCACAGCGTCATAGGCCAATTACGACTTACAATGAACACAAAAATGATAAGTTCAAATTGATTAAGGGAATGACTCGGAATCGGTAGATACAGTAAAAGGTAAATTTATTTTGAATTTTGTGCCAAATAAAGGGCGTTTGCCCTACTACGCTTCCTTCGCTCGAACGATATAAAACAAAGTCTCTTTTGCATCCTATTCTAATTGGGTATGAAAAGTGGATCAATTGTGAGAATCACGGGCGTGAATATTGATAAGTGGACTCAGGCGTACCGTCCACATCAACTGCAAGGCGAAATCACAAAAGAATATGGTGTATTATTATCAGCTACAGTCTAGCGAAAAGGTCAATAACACGAGTTCCCTATAATAATTACTTGACTGAGACCGTGTACTGATAAAAAAATGAGCGGAATATCAAAAACCGCGACGCAAACAACACATATTTTGATATGACATCCATCCATGCATCAATAGGCAAAATCAGCTGGCGGTACGTTGGTTAGCATTCAAAAGAGAAGTACTAACCTATGCAGCTTACTCTCCAAAATCGAGAACTACAGGCACATGCTCAGTAGCACCTGAGTTTTTACGAAAACAACACGGTGCACACATTAAGGGCAAATGTATAGCTAACGAGGGGCAATACTTTGAACAAAGTTATCTTTCATCATTCTGATACAATGAAAGTACATATCTTATACGAGAATTCCGGTTTCATAATTACGTATCTGGTAAATACATTTAGCCTCAGCTATTTTATTTGTCATGCTTATGTCATATTGCGATAGTCGCCAAGCCTTTGATACCGTTACGTTTGCATAACTCGTTACGTTGCTTAGGCTATCATAGGCTTTCCATGAATCATATTATCATTCCCGTTGTAAATGTATTTATTAAAGAAAATCGAATATGAATGAGTGATGGGTATGTAAAGATTCGTTTTAAGCCGATTATAATTTTTTTTTTTATCGTATTTTATGCAGGTAAATGATCAAAATATGCATTTTTAAGCTTTATGTTAACACGAACATAATATTTAAATAAAAAAGAAAAAAAAATGTTTTTTCCCCTCTTTGCAACATTTCGAAAAACTCCTTTAATATAATAACATTAGACCAGAAAACAATTAAATGTTCATTTGGTCAATGACCCATAGTCTAAGAGAAGTATAAGCAAAGCAAAAAAAAAAAAAAAAGAAGCCAAATAACATGCATAAGTAGATATCTTTGTTGTTGTATGCATGCATTATGTGGATGCACTTAATGATTTCAATTATTCACATGATAATCTAACGAAAATCTTTTCAAAGAGTCAAACAAGAAGTATTTTTGCCAATGATGGACGATTACAATGGTAATGTTGTTATTATTGTTGTTATTGTTATTATATTATTATTGTTACTGTTATTGTTGTGGTCATAAAATCAATTTGTTAATTGTATCTCGGACAAATTTACACTTCAAAACCTTCTTAATCTCTATTTATTTACATATGTACATATACATATATTACATATATATATATATATATATATATATATATATTGAAATCATATTTCTCAATTTAAATACTGTAGACAATGAACAAACATTTCTACAAATCCAAGTGAGAGAAGATGAAGAAGAATAAGAAGAAGACGAAGTTTATATGCAATAAATTGAGTGAATTCAATACGTAAACATATTTAGGCTTATATTGCATATATCCACACATATATATGTGTTAAAGATAATCTGTATCGTGTCGTTACGTATATGCATATTTGTATGCATGATGCTTATAGGCTTGCTTAAGTAATTGAGTATGTATTGGCCACAAACCACAACAGAGTTGATTTGCTAATTGCTGAAAATGTCTTCAGTTTGATAATCATTGTTTCGAAATTTTGACATCTCTTCCGTTATTATTTAGGGAAAATCAAGATGCTGATCCTAATGCTGATACGGATACTGTTATTGATACCGATGCTGATGCTGATGCCGATGCTGGTACTGATACTGATACTAATAAATTATATGTGTTTGTGTGTTTGTGTGTGTGTTTGTTTGTTTGAAAGGATATTATCACATTTAAGGTTCATGTTCGGTTTGAAATTGATTAAAATGTTTGTAAGAATTAACAGAAAGCAATATTTGAGAGATTTTCTTACAAGAAAACTTACTTGACCACAAATTCTACGTTTAAGCACTACTCGCCTTCACCCCTTTACCTTCGGCTTTATCGTTACCTTTAGCCATACAATTACCATTACTGGTAGTGAGACTTCTTTAAATGAGTTCAGTTAAATAATCATTATACTTAAGCTTGCCTCTCATAGTCAAATAAGAAGGTTTGTCAGAAACAGTTGCCAAATTTCCGTTATAATAATAACAACCATTCAAAGGACGACACTTGGGTTTTAAAAATGTGACATTTTGTCACAAGCTACACTTAACCATGCCATACCATACCATAATTTTGTGGTATATTCTTCCTTTTGTTAGCTGGTTTAGTTGACAACTAAACCATGGACTAACATGCAACATGATTTGCGGTCTTTTCTTATACACATCTATATACATGTACATATATATATATGCATGCATATGTAAATGCATTACCTTGTACACTATATAACAATTATTTGTTTGTGGCTTAGTTACCTGTGAGCAAATTACTACATTGTAATTATATTCAAATTGATTTGTGTTTATAAGGCTTGTCTTCTCTCGTATAATTACCAACACATTAAACTTTCATATCATAAAAGTGTAAAAAATTCCGGCATTAGCTTTGATTTTCTGCCAAAACTCTCAACCAACTAATCTAACTTATTTAATTACTTTGCGTAAGTATTTGTCTTCATACATATTGTACATACATATATATGGGCATTATGGTGCTTATTTGCCAGCATATAAGCGTTGATGTGACAACAAAGATGGAAACGCTAGTAAAACAGTCACAGTTCTATATGTGATTTTTCCAACAGTCTGCCAATTCTTTGATCTTTGTTAAGAAAAATGTATGTTTAAATATAATTAAATGTCAGGCACATTATCAAAGAGTGACAATAACAACAACGACGACGACGACAACAACACCCTCTTAGTTTTCAAGCTAAACTAAACTAAAATTAAAAAACACATATGTTAGAAAAGCCCCACACACATATACATATTTGCATTTTGTTCGCTATATTGTCAAATATGTTTTCACAGACACTATCAAAAGTTGCAAGTATATTAAGTTAACGATGTTGGTTTGTAACATAACTTACATATGACGTACGTAATCTATTCTCACCTACGCCATGAATTCTTTTTAGATGACGATCAAGATTTACAAAAATAATTTCCAAAACCTTTTATATCCGGTATATGTAAATTATATCATTTGCCGCACGCTCTGTTTGCGAGCGACATCTCGCAACTATACTCATTCTCCGTCATTGCCTTCGAAGCTCTTGGACATTGCCATAATGGGGGCTGTCTTGTATAGGTGTATATTTTGCTAATGTTATAAAGAGACAAAAATTATTTGTCCACCAATAAAGTTCTTTAACCGAACTATTCGGCTTTCTCATCGTTCTCACTCACGCCTTCTAGGGTTGTCGGCGCACGTGTAACCTTTTAAGGAGACGCTTTGACATTGTCCCTATACGAACTCTCCATTATGATGTGTATTTCTGGTATTTTTTCACCAACTCACGAGAACGGCGTTTAAGGCGATATATATCATTTTGCGTAACGATAAAAAACCGCCCGATATGGAAAATAAAGACATTATTGCCTCCAATGTTTCAATAAATCCACAAGATATCGCTTGTGTGTGAGCAGAATATAGTTTTTAGGAGCTTTGAATGGATAGAGCTTTGCACCTAAACTAAAAATAATCAAATACCGATAAACGTCAGTTTTAGTGCTAATTTCGAAATGCTACTGAATCGTACGAAGTAACGAGTGAAGAACGAGGGACACGACAAATTCTCGGAAGAGTATAAAACAATGATGCAAGCGAACATTGAAAAAAAGCCGAATATCTTTCGAATTTCAAGATGTAGCGTTTCACGCGAAGAAATGCTTGCACTGGAACGTTACCTACGCAAGATTCAATTGCATTGTTTATTAAAGGAAAAATGTCTCCTCTACGCGACTAACAACAATCAGTTGTTTTTTTCGGAATGATAACGAATGGCTAATAACGAACGGCTTTATACAGCAAAAAAGGTTCAGGTAATGCTTACGACAGTCGCATTACTCACCAGACACTTCTCTTTCTCGTTAGCACCCCTTTCAACCGATGGCATATTGTATGTCTGAGCATCAATACACAGACAGTGCTTTCGACAAGAAGTTTCGCCATAACGTTTCGAACAAAGCGTGCCAGAGTCGGGCTTTGCATTTTTCACAACTTTTAGCTAGTCATGACTTATTTTCATATCTTGTGTACAGGACACATTATTTGATATGAGACCGACCTGCTGGCAACATGTCGGATTACTTTGAAAATTCCATTAAGTCCAAGCTCGGAGACAGAAAAGTTAAGTTTAATACCTAATCTTCTGATTCGATATTACACATGAAGAAGCCAGATTCCCGCCGTTACAACTTAAGGATTAAAACATCTTGAGAGAGAGCAGAGATGTTTTAAAATAATTTTATTGCAAGCTTGAACAATATTTAAGAAATGGAAATGAAGCTCAAAGCGTTGCATAAGTTGTGCTTAGAATTAGTTTCAATGAGCTTCTATTGTGGATGTAAATTCACTGGCAGGTATTTATGATTCGTTCCAAAGCCTGTCATTAATTGGGCTAATACTGGATAATTAACTTTGTAGCGTTACTCCTCGCGTACATCGAGCAATGTAGGCGACAACAACAACAATAACAACAATAACAACAACAACAGAAACAACAATAGCAATAACAACTATGACAACAAACACGATATAACAGACAGCCGCACTCTACAAGTCGTCAAGACATAAACAAAATGTCGCCGACGACATTTTATTTCGCCAGATTTTCGTTAATAATTTTTCATTGCAATCTTTTTTTGTTTTATGCCTCAACGTTACTCGCATTCAACGAGAGAGACGCGTATGCATATTTACTCGGAGAATTGAGGTTTTGACACAATTAATCACCCAAACAGCTTCCTATGCAATTACCCAGAGATTTGTATATGTGTGTGTGTGTGTGTGTGTATTTTCATGTTTTCATGTATGTAGGCACTAGAATTGCATACGATATGCTTGGTATTGTCGACGTGACAAAAATTTCGCTTGATTTTGTCTTAATTAACGCCAAACGCTTCAATAGCTATAAAATATGTGAAATGCTGAAGATTGTCGTCGCTACAATGTGTTGTTTGCTGTTGTTGTACTTACTTGAGCATATATGCATGTTGTCAATGCAAGTTGATGATAATGATGATGATGGTGTGGTGTCTTGTTTTTCTTTATAAAGGCGGTACAACATACTTGTTTCAATTAATCGGCTTTTTTATTAAGGGGAACCGAATCATGTTAAACATAAATTTCAAATACGCAAACGCATATTTCTTCTGAGCTTCAACGCATTACCATAACCTTTTGGCCCGTTGTTGTAGTTCGTTCTTTTTTTTTTTTTTTTTCTTTATATTTTCGCAGAGTGAACTGTTTGACTGTTTAGTTATTGCATCTTATGCTTGATTTTCACACATATTTTGACACCCAAAAAAAAAAACAAAGACTACTTTTTTTCCCTATAAATTTAATTGGACCACACAAGCATTCCTCGCTTTGTCGTTTCATTCGGCTTTTAGTTCTTCTTAAATATTTTCGTTTAAGATTTTTTAAAAGATTTATTATCTGTTTACGGTTGCAAGAGCACTTTTTCTTATTTTTGATCCAACAATAACGTGTTTGTGGGTTTGTGTGTGTGTTTTTTTTTTCTGCTTAGCTCGCACAGTGATAAGAAGAATTTCCCATAAAACTGCGTTAAAATATCTTTGAATTTTCCCTGTAATTAATGCCATCACGTTCGTGAACTTCAAATATTATTCGTTCGATTTTTTTATTATTTGATTTTTTGAAGATATTATTAAAGTGTTTAAGCTCTATATGCCATGTATCCTATATATTGTATGTCAGATCGTAGCACTTCCATTTCTAGTGAATAAAAACTTATTTTCTAAAAATATTCAAGAAATTCAGGAAAGAAGAAGATTGTCATCCCAACATATCTCATCATGGTAAGGCTCGGTTTCTTAGAAAATGACTGAGTACTTCAAGCGTCGAAATGATCGACAGTACCTGTTATATGCAAAGCTTCGGCTTATATTCTAATATCTGTTAGGGATTTCCGAAGATGACATTTTTCCTAAATTGAGAAACCAATCCTCGAAATGCGGAGTTAAGTACATCTTTCCTGTAATTTAATTTGCTTCATCCATTATCCTGTTATTTGACTTTAAAAACCTGAAAAAATGGATCAGTTGTGAAAAGTGTACCAAAAATGTGGACATGGCCTGCATAGTTGGTCGATATTTGGAAAGCGACGGTTCCCACGGTAAACGTGAAATCGATGTAATTGAACATCGCTAGGAAAACATACCGAGCTAAAAAGAAGCAAAGCTATTTTATTCTAAATACTTTGTTTTTGTGGGCACTAAACCGCTATAATCTATTTAGAGCAAAGAAATAGGTTCTAGGACACAAACTAGTTCTAAGACTACCGGCTCGAGAGCGAAAATAATTCGCTAAATTAAATATTTAAGGCGACAAATAGTTTGCGAACAGCACTAAGATGGGTAATGATCCTACTTCCAACTGTCTCGGAATAGAAGCAACTGCTGAAGAAAGTAACGCATGAACGTAACGATGAGACTTTCAATGTTTACCAAATTTAAAAATTTGATTATCAGGTTCAATGATTTTCTTATTTTTAACTTTACAGAAAAACACAAACAAAAACAAAGAACAAAAAGTGCAAAATACAAAACATTATAATCATCTAACGTAGATACGATGTAAGAGGGGAGTAGAGCAAGGGTTACAAACAAAA